CTACTGCTGAGTGCATGGTGCGACATTGTGAGCTGGCATAATTATTTGAAACGCTTTTTTTGAACTGTTCCCAGCGTGGTTTGTGTTTGTGAACTGTAGATTCAGATTAAAGCGATTGGCCTGTTGAAAAATAAACTTTGTTGTGCCTTATGCAATTATTGTGTGTGCAGCTACTGATTTGTTGTAACTGCTGCTTCCATCGCGATGACTATGTGGGACTGTTTGTGTGGGCATTTCTGATGGCGGCCTGATGCAATTTAATGCGTGTGCATGTTATTAGATTAGCTGACAATGTAGCCTACCGTCAATTGTTTTGCCCACAAGGGGCAGATTATGACATTCGTGGGTTTCCGTTGGCACAGGAACGGAGCATAATGGGATGACCTCTTTGCTCTGAAGCTGAAAGTGCAGTTACCTGATAACACTCATTTAGAGCCCTCTCAAGCACACAACGATCATTAGAGATATTGCCATCCGTGCAGTAAACATTACTGGCATTCACTGGTTAATAATTTATAGACTGTCTTCTTTCATTTGGAGCTAAACATTCTGGGGGATAATATGACCCCAATATAGAACTGCCGTTTGTAGAACTGTCTGGGATATCAAACCCGGACTTGAGATGAGGTCCAGTGGCAATTTGTGCTTGCTTGGAAACAATGGCCTCTGTACAACAATGATTATAGCCAGTTTTTTTTTTTTTTTTTTTTCAAGGAAAAAATGTGCCAGTACCTTCCACAAAGTGACGATTATAGTAGTACTAAAATATGACACCTAAAAAGGTGCCTGTATTGTATACTGTTATGTACTGCCAGGGGCAAAAGCCTATCATGGATGTTATTATGTCTAAATATTGTTTCTTTATTGTCCTTTTTTTTTTAATTTCTTCTTGTTGTGTGCTGATGAAGGTTTGTTGCCGCAACGACGTGTGATTTTATAACTGAAATTTTGAAAAACTAACCACACTATACAGGGGATACGTGCCCTTGGAACGTCAAGTCCTGGATAGATCAAAATGGAATCTGTATTTCTGCAATTTACAAAAAAAAAAAATTGAGAAAACCATTATTATGTGCCAGTTTGTGAAAAAGAAATTATGGGGGTAGGAGGGAAATCGGAAAATGGGATGGGGCTCATCCGTGTGCAAAATTTCCAGGGTCCTTAAGGAGCCTAAACCTGTTTAATGTTGTATAATTATTATTATTGTATTATTAGTATTATTATTAGGGTTTAAATTGCAAATAGGTTAGTTGCGTATCCTATACAGGACGTTGCAGAACCAACCCCAACAGCCCCTGGCTGTTGTGTCGTTTTTATAGGCAAATTTATGTCCAGTAGTTTGCCATTGCTTGCTGGACAGTCGGCTTTCTTTAATACCACTGTCGAAACCCAACGCAAATCATATTGCCCCGCAGCTGGGATCGAACCCGTCATCCCGGCATTACGAAGCAAATTGCAAATAGATATAATAATATATTTGAGATAACATGAAATATATAAATAACATACTTTAAAGATAATGTATATGCGTTCTTAGGCTAGTGGGCCTATAACATTTCACACATTTTCTTAGTTTTAATCTCATACCAACCCCCATCACAATCCCCACTCCCACCCCCTCCCCATTTAACTATTCCTAATCAAAGTTACATTACCGGTAAGACATAGTTTATAGATGGTCCTCTTTCCTTTGGAGCCAAATATTCTGATGGATCAAACGACCCTGATGTAGAACCATCCGGAGTATCAAAGCCAGACTTGAGATAAGGTCCAGCTGCAACCGGGACCTGCCTGCCTTAGAAACACTGGCCTGGGGTCTGCCCGTGAAAAACTGTTTTTAGTTTGATTCGGACGTTCTTCTATTAGGCCGGAAGCAGATCGATGTCTTTGCTCACATCTCCCTGTTTTGTTTTCCAGAAAAATATATTTTAGTAAAGGTAAGTTGCAAGGTTACATCATTGAGGAAAACTAACTGAATGTCAATTAAAAGCATCAAAATCGTTTTCCTTTGTGACTGCATGTCAGTCTTCTAGACAACGAGACAACATGGAAAGAGAACTGACCCGCCAGCTAAACAGACTCGCAGAAAACAATCAGATCGTTCTACAGTGGATCACTGCGGCATACCAGGAAATGATAGACTTGATAAAAATGGAACAAAAGAGAAACAACACACCCATCCATTGTCGTTACCAGAAATCAGAACACTTATCAAAGGGAAAATACAAGGAATTGTGGAGATAACAAACTAACAGTAAACCTCCACAAGACCCCATCAGCAAACTCAACAGAAAGCAACATGCAACAATTTTCCGTCTACGAACAGGACACTGCAGGCTCAGCTAACACATGCATAAAATAAAGACTGTACAGTCCCCACAGTGTGCCTGTCAAACAGGACCACAAACACCTGAGCACATTGTGCAGACCTGCCCTCTCTAAACACAACTTCGAAAAGACACCTGGCCTCAAGAGCAAAGTGTGCAGAGCAAGCTACGGGAAACCATGAACGACATGCTACTGACATGCAAGTTCATAGAGGCAACCATCCTGATAATCTCATCTGAGCATACGAAACCGAACGCAAAGAAGATGAAAAAATATACCAAGAAATGTGACAATGATTAGTTTGTGCCATTGTTTAAAATATACAGCTCAAAGAACAAAAACAGAGAAACGCATAGCTAATTAAAAAAAAAAAACACACAATTTGACATTCAAAATCTGGTTATATATTGAGTGAAATTGTATACACAAGAGACTAAAGAGAACTTGCTTTATTAGGAACGCAAATGCCAAGCTCGCTGTCCTTAAACTCCCTCCCATAATACCAAATGTTCCACTTAAACCTTACAACGACTGCCCCGCTTGGCTTAGGGATAGCCTACCAACAGTCAGAACCACTGTACAGGGGTCTCCTCCAAATCATCAATGAGCAGCACTGATATTGAAATCAACTACAGAAGGAGAGATCAATAGACTTTACCCACCCACCAGAGTTGGATTCGAGTGTATACAGATGGTTCAGCCAAGAGAGCAGTAGAAGAGACGGAGGAGGAGAATATACATAGAATGCCCAAATGGTTTAAAAATCAACCAGGCTGTACCAACAGGTTCATATTCCTCCAATTACAGAGCAGAGGCAGAAGCACTTCTAGCGGCATGTTCTTTCCTGAATGGGACAACAGCACAGCAAATATAGCAGAGTGGTCTTTCTGACTGATGCTATGTCAGTTCTACAAGCAATTGTTAACCCAAAAGACACTCAGTTTGTAGACTTGACGCAACAGCTGATTTACTTAGGCTCTTCAGTAAGAACAATCTGTACTGCAGTGGATTCCAGGTCACTGTGGCTTGGAAAAGGCAATGAAATAGCGGACAGATTGGCCAGAAGCGGCAGTGACATGGTACAACCAAATAGCGACTTAACCCACCAAGAGATGAAAACCTAATACAATCTAGTATCCAAGAAAGGTGGCTGGATACCCACAGCAGATTTTCTCCCCAAGACTCACTTCATCGCCTCTCTAGAGAGGGACAGTCTATTTTTTTCAGACTAAGGACAGGGCACAAACAGATTTCGTCAACATATTGTTCAAATTTTTCGGTGTAGGAAATACGGAGACGTGTCCCTGCAGCGTGGCACCCGAAAATGCTGAGCATGTGCTCCAACACTGTCAACTGTATGCTGACAACAGAGACGCAAATCTGGCCTGTTCCAACCACATGAAGACAAAACTGTATGGTACACAAGAGGATATGGATTGCACGATAGCTTTCATAAAGGCTACCGGCCTCCTGATATAAGTTTTCTGACAGAAGGATCGAAGAAGAAGTATACACAAGAATACCATAGCATTCAACAAATTAATTGGGAGTTCTGTTTTATCTCGATCATTAATAGTTTTGACACATACTGGCTTTCTGAGGAGGGGGGGGGGGTGGGGTGGAAAAGGTGGGGTTAGACGTAACATTCGTTGATGAGCTTTCCCGTCAACTAATAAAAACGTGCCATCGGAAAACTGTGTTTCTCTATTCACTTTTTTGGGGGTCATGCTTTCTTCTGAACATTATTCTGGTTTCTGGTCACATTATATCGGTAGTAGTAGTAGTAGTAGTAGTAGTAGTAGTAGTAGTAGTAGTAGTAGTAGTAGTAGTAGTAGTAGTAGTAGTAGTAGTAGTAGTAGTAGTAGTAGTAGTAGTAGTAGTAGTCGTAGTAGTCGTAGTAGTAGCAGCAGCAGTAGCAGCAGCAGCAGCAGCAGCAGTAGTAGTAGCAGCAATAGTTTCAGTTGTAGTAGTAGCATCAGCAGCAATAGTAGTAGCAGTACCAGTAACAGTAGTAGTAGTAGAAGTAGTAGTAGAAGTAGTAGTAGCAATAGTAGTAGTAGTAGTAGTAGTAGTAGTAGTAGTAGTAGTAGTAGTAGTAGTAGTAGTAGTAGTAGTAGTAGTAGTAGTAGTAGTAGTAGAGAGCCTTAAAGTGTATAAGCTGAGAGGTATGTTAGGTTTCATAACCCCCCCCCCCCCCACTTTCCAGCATTAATAGTATTCCGCTGCCCCCCTCCCCCCCCCCTCCCCCTCCTCTGCCGGGCTAGAATGTGAAGAGAATGCCGATGAACAGATACTCCTGGAACACGTGACTTACACGCGAGACTCCCTCCACGTAAGATTTCCACAGTTCTCGATCTATGGCCTTGGAAGTCTGAAAACGACAGGGATGGAAAATTAATTAATTCTTCAAGAACTATAAATATATTTTAGAAAATACATTGGCTCAGGGAAACAAGCACAAAGAAAATATGAAAGCCTCAAGGGGCCATAGAACTCAGATTCAGGCGTTAATGAAAAAGCTACATTTCTTTTTCACCTTTTCAAAAAGGACTTTTATTACAAGGAAAAGAATAATCTCAACATTATGGCATTGAATGAGGCCTGTCTGTGGTCAGGGAAGCACAGCCAGATCACAAGACATGTTCCACTTGGCTGGAGCTTTAAGAACTAACAATGATGTTGTTAATGGGGATATGGATCAGCCTGACGAAGAAGCCAATGAAGCCCATGATAGCAAACCCAATGGCCATAGCCATGGCAATCTTCTGGAACTCTTTTCTATCTGGCTTTGTGCACTTCTTGACAAGCCTGATGGAGTCCTTGGCGAAAGTTTTAGCCGCTTCAACAAAATGCAAGACCTGATCCATGTCTGTAAAATAACGATCTGAGAAAATTACTAACAAATGCTTCGATTGAGTGACTGCTCCAGCGTTTGTGTCCGTCTGCTGAAAGAGCTACATTTGAAACCGATGATCTTGTCTTTGAAATCAATTTAGAGACAGTATTTTTCAAAATTGATCTGAACTCTCCAGAAAATGCAGTCTATAACAGATAATAGGAAAGGATCTATGAAGTAAAATGGGTTTTTAACATGGTCCACTGAATTCCGATTAGACTACAAAGTACTGAGCTAGCAACAAACGAATTACATTAAAATAGTCTTGTACATTTGACATTATCATAAAACGATATCAAACGAAACAAAAAGTAGGACTCCCAGAACTAAATGGTCTTTTTACACTGATTGTTTTAAAAAGAAAATCAACATCAAGTGCTTTGGTGACAGGCGTAGGCAATCATGGATTTCCGGATCTGCGATCTTCAGCAGCATGTATCAGTTCGTTGTTGATATTTATTTTTATGTCATGACAAAACACTGTCAAGAATTTTCCTATTATAGTGAATTTAAAGTATTCTTTTGCAAAACCCATTACCTCGGAGGGTGTCATTGAATGTTTCACACTTGTCATCATCAATTCACCGACCAAGTGGCGGCGGAACCGGCTAGACTATCTGCCAACGCACACGGCAACAACCTGGAGAAAATATCTAAAAGCACGCTAACTACCCGTGATCCCGGAAGCGATGTTTGCCATTCTGCACGGAGCATGCCTCTCTCCAATCCTTTTTCAACATGCTCTGTGAGTCAAGTTACAGCTGATTCTCAAGCCAGCGGGAAACTTCTGTGACTGCCTCCACCTCCATTTCCCTCAAACTAGACTTACTGCTGGGACTGAACCGGGGGACCATTGCTTTGATATGCAGCCTCACTAACCTACATGTCTCAGTTTGTCCATGCTGTTTTTTGACTTTAAGAAGAACAATACGAACAATAATTTCCCATATTACAACAAAAATGTTGCATACTTTGAAATTGTTGACGCTTCTCTTTGTGTACAGTCGAAATGTGTAGCCTAGGCGTTCATCTCCGGTTAGTTTCTCAAATCTGGCTTCTGGACCTAGAGTAATACTGCCTATCATCTGAAATGTGCAAGTCAACGTTATTTATTGATTGAAATTACCATAGTCAGCAAATTTTCAACAGTTATTTGTGCCAGAGAGGGAAATAACTGATCTTAACTAACGTTGGTTTGAAAAAGACGAAAATTACGTTCAAAATATTAACTGACTCTATTTTTCAAGATACATGCTTCTAATTTATTTAATTACAGTCAATGTAAATATATGGGGCTAATACTGCGTGTGATTGCATTTTTTTGTTTTCGTTTTTTCCAACACCATAATTAGTTAAGATCAGTTATTTTCATTTCTGGCACATTGTGGTTATTGACTGGTATTATTATTGCCACCGTCTCAACTTTCAAAGTAAGATATTGTTATATTGCTTTCTAGACAGTATGGAAGTCACAGCCCATGGTAATGGGTAATTAAGAGCAGGGATAAAGTTCTTTCTCTCCATAGCAAAATCCTTGAGAAGCATTGCAGAGACCATATGTTATCCAGACAGCAAGATCTTTGCCTCAGCCTGCCTTGTGTTCTCCAAAGGAAAGGTAACACTAGCACGGTTGGATCAAAGCACGCTGTGGAAGCCGTGTGCCGCTGGTAGTCTTGTCTATCCACTCAACCTTCTTCTTATAGTTCATGTCGTGTAGCCTTGGTAGTCATGGCTATTTTTAACATTTATTCTCATGTTTTTTTCCTTTTGTGTTTTTTTTTTCTTTTGTAACTATGTTACTAATTTATTTTCATATTTATTCGTAACAAGGGCTATTCTTCTCACCTGGCATCTTAGGCAACGCATCATTGAAGCCAATGAAGATGTTTAAATATATAAAATATTTTAGAATGTTTATACCTTTAGGAGCTGGGAGACGTAAAGATGGACGGCAAACCCCTTATCATAAACTGAAATAACGAGAAAGGACTGATAGATCTCATAACGCAGTAAAAAAGATAACGTCCCTGACAACTGCAAGGGTTGTCGGATTAAAAAGGGTAGCAGCAATGGCGGTTATTATACGAATATATTAATTAAACATGACACCGTGTTTGAGTAAAGCTAAAATGTCTATAGGTAAAAGGATGTAACCAGGAAATGTGTGCGACAAAGGTAAACAGACACTAGCTATTGATCATGGTATAGAAAACCATGTGTATACAAAAATATTGGCAGTGACGTGGACAGACAAGTGAAGATAAATAGGATAAGCTTAACAACTTGGCTTTGACTGTAGGAGGTAAGTCTAGATCCGTATCTAGATCAAGATGATCTCTGGAAAACTTATCAAACAGTAGCATATGTGTTTTAGAAGATTGTAAAGGAAGCAGAGACAATGAAATGGTGACATTCCCACAATGGAGGCTGGCTTCAGTACATCTACTGCCAACAATTGGAATATCTCCTGGCGAGACACTGATTTCTTCCACAGTGAAACTCTCGTATCACTGTATGAAAGCCACAAGAATGGTCTATTTCTAAATCGCCCACAAATGGATCAGATACTGGCACATGTGGAAATCTGCATTGTGAAATGATTTCACTAACCTCTAACCCACAGATGCGCGCTAAAGAAAACGCGAGGAATAAAAATCAGCAAGGAAGGAATGCAGTTAGAGACATTTAATGTTCATGTAAAACCACTCAAAGAACGTCTGACAGTGTTCACTTACCGTGTCTCTTGACTCTTTCTGGCTGCTAAAGAGAAAGATGACCTCGTCTCGGAGGACACACCAATACCGCAGCCAGCTCTTGTCCTAAGAATAAAATGTGCCAAGTTATTTGGGTAAAGAGCCAAAATCGTGTTAAATAGTTAAAGGTGGGAGGATCGATTTTATCGACTTCATTGCACTGAGTTTTATCTCATATGACTCAGTCTCTCTCCACACAACGGCTAGATTCCCAGGGATCTTCGTAAAAGTAGCGCTCGTGAACCATACGATGTGAAACGAACACATGATCGTGACAGCGTGAGGCAAACGGCTTCCCCGCTTCGCCACAGGACACCAAAAAATAAAATATATAAGCAATTCACAAACTAGCACTTCGACACCACCCCCCCCCCCCCCCCCCCCCCCAAAAAAATGTAAGCACATCATCATGCAGCACTTCGCCAGAAAACATCAGCACTTCACAAACTAGCAATTTACTACGGGACAAAAACAAACTATAAGCACTTCATTATCATCTAGTAGCGAACTTACACAACATCGCTGCCATCACAACCCGCCTGACACTGGGACTCTTGCTAGTTCCTCTCTGATCGCATACTCTTTCCTGCCCAATGTGTCGTTTATGTCCTGTACTCATCTTCGTACCAGGATGGGCTGTCCTGGGAAAGTAAAGACAGCCGGCGTAATGCTGACCACATTACCCACAGAGTGCTGATGGTCTGTAAAAATATGGGAAGCTCTGCCCATATGCTCGATGCGCCGAAAGGCGTGAAAAAGGAACTTTACTTTTTTTTTTTTTTTACTCATCTTCGTGCTAGTCGGCTACTGCCCTTTTATCGGGTACCTTGATTTCCACTACTGTTTTTTCTAATACAACATGGCGTTTTATAGGACCACAGTATTTCAGTCTTCCCGCTAAAAATGCTCATTGCGAGTTACATAATTGTTTCTTGGTGTTCATATGTTTTATGATGCTGACAATTTGTTTTTCTACTTGGTGTTCATATGTTTTATGATGCTGACAATTTGTTTTTCTACTTGGTGTTCATATGTTTTATGATGCTGACAATTTGTTTTTCTACTTGGTGTTCATATGTTTTATGATGCTGACAATTTGTTTTTTTCTACTTGGTGTTCATATGTTTTATGATGATGACAATTTGTTTTTTCTACTTGGTGTTCATATGTTTTATGATGCTGACAATTTGTTTTTCTACTTGGTGTTCATATGTTTTATGATGCTGACAATTTGTTTTTCTACTTGGTGTTCATATGTTTTATGATGCTGACAGTTTGTTTTTCTACTTGGTCCAAATCACTTCATTTATACAAAATAGAAGGATGAGTGTTAAAGCGAACAATTCACTACAGCCTTTTTATTTAACTCGTTCCGGAATTTGGCTGTTTTAAAGGTTCTCATGTATGACAAGCTGGATCTTGCGAGGGCCTTTTGGGAGCGATTGAACAGTGTGGAGGCACAAATAGATCATTACGGTCTGAGTAGAATGGCGCTGCCAGGAGTTACAAGGGGATCTGACCGGCGCTCAACACTCTCATGGAATAGCTAGACGTATATACAATCAGACAGTTACTGGTGCCATCGGAATTGGGACTCTGCTTGCTGCTGAAGATGGAGACGGAGCGCTTATGGGAGTGTCCCTAGTGCTGTGATGTCGATTCTTAATTCAACAGTCGAAGGTAAGACGATGTCTGCTTCTAACTCATAAAGACTGACTTGAGAATGCAAACATTAATGTTTCGAGAAAGAAAATAACCGAAGGCTTGCATATCCCCCGTGTTTCTTGAGTAGTGGGTTGGACCTGTAGTCTTTATGGATATGGGTATGGGGGGGGGGGGGATTTAAATAAGGTGATGAAAAATATATTCCACCGCAATCTGAGACGCAGTGGATACACGCTCCCAGTGAGCGTTCCAGAGCCCCATTGTGGGGAAAACAAGAATAGACCTACTGTCTGACCTACAAGAATGTCGTAAAAGTCGACTAATTGGAGGCACCCTTTGAAGACGGAGTACATCTGCCTCAGAGGCACGATACCAAGATTCTGCATACAAATAAGCCAGATGTGTGAAATGGATGTGCACGCTAATGTCCGGAACAAGACTAAAAGTCCAGAGGTGGACGAACACATAGAACCTTCCGCCCGAGTTTACAGCTGGTGAACGCGAAGAAGAAGAAGACATGCGCAGTTATTGGAACATTTTCAGGATCAACGGG